AACAGGTCTGAAGAGCTTGGGATATTGTTCGTTTTTTTTTTTTGGGGGGGGGCGGATTCGAAAGGGTTTGGTTCTTGGCCATACACAATTTCTTGATTATCCTTCTTATTCTTTTTCTTCTTCTTCTTCTTTTTCTTCTTCTTCTTCTACTTCTTCTTCTTCTTTTTCTTCTTCTTCATCCTTTTTCTTTTTCTTCTTCTTTTTCTTCCCTTTCTTCTTCTTCTTTTTGCTCAATCCTTCTCCTTCTTATTCTTCCTTTTCTTCTTATTTTTCCTTTTCTTCTTCTGCTTCTTATTTTCCTTTTTCTTCTTCTTATATCGAAAGGTCCATTAATGCCTTTAAATATCAAGTAACATTGACCCATCGAGAATGTTTCTATAACCAAACACATCATTGTTTTAACCACAAAAGTGGATTATAAACATCCGGATCCTTCTGTTTTACCAAGGATAGGAAAATGCATGTTGTAAATTAATAGCAAATCGAAAGTTCCATTAATAGCATTATATCTTGAAATAGCAAGTAACATTGACCCACAATACCTATAGCAACGATATGGAGAATGTTTCTATAACCAAACACACATCATCATTTTAACCAAACAAGCTGATCCTTTTTATCCTGGTCCTTTTGTTTTATCAAGGATAGTAAAATGAATGTTAATTAGCAAATCGAAAGCTCTTTGTATCTTTAAAATAATAACAAGTGACATTATGCCAAGTGTACTATAGCAACTTAGCAAAGGTAAACATGCTTTGAAGGTTTTTTTCAACAGACACATCATTTCAATTGTACAAGTCATTAATAGACGTTTTCCTCCTGCACTCTGACAGTTCCTTCCTTCTTTTTTTTTACAGTTAAATTATCATGATGAAATACATGATGAAAACATTTGACGTAAGTGATCACGTGACACTACGTCATCAAGAGACAAACGGGAATTCCCCATTGTTAATTGGTAGTATATGTATTCGAGCCCAATTTAAGGGCTTTATCCAAAACACAATCACAATTACTTGGTTGGTGTCTACAGAAGCAATACGAAAATCCATCATTTCTCATCGAAATGTATAATGGGGAAGGTGGAACACGATACACTTTGAAACTCGATGGAACATGTTCAAATTACGCTCTGACAAGGAACAGAAAGTAAATAGAGGTCTATGTTTTCAGACTATTTAAGCCGAGGTAGATTCGACGTCGCCCACGTCGCCTTAAACTAAAACAACATGCAATGCCTGGGCTAGGCTGTAATAAAAGATAACAACAGTGGCATTCAGTCATCGTTCACGTTGGTTCATTCATCCGAAGATTTTATTAAGAAAAAAGTTATCTGTGACTCAAGTACCGACTATCCATATTGTTTTCTGATCCTCAGACCAAGCCATCAAGTAGACTAGACGAAACTAGCCGAAGCTCGCGGCGCCAAATATCTACTGTCAAAACCGTGCACCGCTGACCGTGCAACGTGCAGTTTTCTCTAGCTACGGTCGGGGAGTTCCAGTGCAGCGACATGCGCCAGGCCAGCGTGTGATCTTGGAGTTGGAGAGTCGCCATACGCGGGCCATCGCAATTCCTATAGTATGATGCTGAATTTAGCGTGAAATGCCATTGCACTGTGTTAACAGACTTCGTCAGCCATGCCTGTAATGCATGTATGTCATCCTTCTTATATTTCATATGAAAACTAGTTTTGTTGTTGACTGATTTAGACTCGAGTAACAACGTTCATGATGTTGGAATCTCGGATCCTGCAACAGTGAACTGGTCCTTGTGTAGCACACATGCAATCTCTTCCCTCCACAAATAGCAGTAACCATTACCATGGATGGAAGAATCCTGGATCGATGAACGGGCTTAGACCTACAACATCGCATAGAGTAAAGTAGGTATAGTCTAGGTCAATATGCATTAGCATTCTCTCTATGCTTTGCTGGAGTGATCTAGACTAAGTTTAGTTAGACTGAAAGATTCAAAATAACAGTCTTGATCTGTGAGTTTTATAATGTTGACGGTTGTTCCGCTACCACCTCTAACTATGGTTGACAAATGTCAGTTTTATTAAATAGAACGACCCATATACCAGACGGTTATTTGTGTCTAATGTATGGTAAATAGTTTACACAGATGTTGTGTGTCCATGGACAGTTGATTTAAAACGGCAATTTTTAGAAAGTTGAAGAATTTATAAAAGTGATATTTCAGAAATCTTCGAAAACTTATGTTGGACATTATTATAAAATGAAGGGGCAATATTCATGATGGTTATAGCGCTATAATTTGATTTATATTTTCTTTTATTCTGAAGGCAACAGACAAGGCTATAGTTTGTTAAGTGTTCGGCCACCCATCCCTGACTCCTTCAAGGCATCATACAACAAAATATGTGCAGGAAAAACACTCATGGCCAAGGAATCACCTCCAGCTGTCTGTGGTAATGTGATCCTTTTATATATTTATTTTTGTTGTTCTGTTGTAATCTTTACTTTACTTAAAGACCGTCAATACTACTGGGCCACAGCGAGGTCACTGACAGGTGGCTATCTCATTAACTCAGCTCTCAACTAACATAAGAAAAAGAGGATCATGGGGGATCAACAGGCACCGATTGGGGAATTTTTCTATATAGAGGGAGCAAGTAGCTACAAGAAGGACAGTGGGGCTTTAAATCCAGTGATGCTAAATGTGTGCAAAGTTGCAAAAATCAGCTTATAGATTAGCTTCAGTCTCTGATATCGACGATTGTTCCACTGAGATTACATTTGGCTCTTCTGACCGCCTCTATAATGTTGACAAATGTCTGTTTTATTAAAGAATCACCCATACCAAACGGTTATTTCTGTCTACTTTCAAGGCTTGATCTTTCAAAGACAATTTTGAGTCCACTAGAATAAATAATAATAATGGTAATAAAAACGTTACTTATAAAGCACTTACCACCAAAGTCTCTAAGCACTATAACAAACAAAATAGACTGATAAACAATTACATATTGAAAAAACAAAAAGTGCAAATAAAACTACAAATTACAATACATACCTGTATGGAATACTCATCAAAGTGAACCGATTTAGAGTTAGTTAATCATCGAGAGCAATTTTGAATAAATGTGTCTTAAGACTAGATTAGAATTGGTTAACAGTTTGACAGTTTTTGACATTTAACGGTAGTCTGTTACAAAGTTCAGCAGAAGCTTTGCAAAAAGAGTGATTACCATAACAAAGAGTTAGCACAGAAGTAGACCCCCTAAAGCTTTCTCAGCATGGACATCATAAAGAGCTTCTATGCCTGATTCTATCTTCATGTAATATCAAAAGTAATTCCAGGATTCAGAACTAATCGGTTAGTTATTAAACTACCTTAATAAACAAAGCCGAATTCAACGACTATTTTTAGCTTAAACCTACAAAATATTTTCTGTTTGATTATAAGCAGAGGGCCAAAGTCAGAAAAGAGAGGTTTGCCTGCCACTACCACATAAACTAAGCACACCTCGTTTATTTGAAAGAGTTTATCATAATACACATTATTTCAGAGGTCTTTTTTTAAAATTTGTTGCGAGCACCCCTAAATCGGAGGGGGCGTCCTTTTGACGGAAAAAGGTAATTTGTTAATAATATTTTAAGGGAACCTTGAGCCACCATAAGTTTGGTGTCATATGAAAGTAAATTGAATTATCTACATTTTTATACCAATTTTAACAAATTTGGGATTAATCAACATCGCAAAAAAACATGATTTTTGTGATTTTTTTTCAGAATATTGAATTTGATCAAAAACCATTATTTTCCATATATCAAAATCGGGGTGGTGCATTTTTTCGTAACTTTTTAAGAATTTGCCCACGTACAAGGAAAGTATGCTGTGTAAAGGAGAGGTTTTTATGTCTTTTCAATAACAAATTATAGCAACCCAAAGTTATTGATTTGATTTCCACAAAAACAGCAATTTCTCATCATTTTGATGATCCCAGAACCTTGCAGTACACACCAATACATACATGTACAGTATATGCTAGATGATCAACCCTTCCTGATCGATTCTGCGACGTTTCTTTCACAATGCAATCGCATGACCAGAACTCAAGTGGAGAATGTGAGTTTATGTAGTTTAAGCTTCTAACAACCACTCGTTTGTACTTTATTTTTTATTATTTACACAATTTCTTGCTGTCTGCTGCCTCGAGATCACTGGAGCAAAGAAATATAACAATGTATAGCAAGATTACCTGTTCAGTAAAGGATTAAATCCTATTTATCCAGATGGATAACTCAATAATGTGGGCATCATTTCATTGAATGTTGTGTCCAGTATTAAGGGTGTGTCTGCTATTACTGAATGAGATGGAATGTTATTAAAATCGGAGGGCTTTTTGTGCTCTTTGAAAGGAGCACACAATGGGACCAGTGGGATTTGAAAATAAATTTCAAGGAATGGATTTGAGTTTTTCACGCTCACGATGGCTATCTAGGGGCCCAGGGCGGACCCCTGGCCCCCAGTAGGAAAGAGTTTAAGCTTCTAACAACCACTCATGTGGACTTTGTTTTTATCATTTACACAATTTCTTGCTGTCTGCTGCCTCGTGATCACTGGAGCGAAGAAAGGACAACCCGTTGTTGTATGAAATTGTCCCTAAGAGAGAGTGTGAGTTTCCATTGCTCAAGACGGTTATCTAATAGGTTCTGAATTGCTAAAACTCGAGAGGGTCCTAGGGTTCTGCCATGTTGTATGGATCCATAAGAAGGCAAAAAAAGCCCACTGAATAATTTATATACATATAAAGGTATATAGAACTAACATTTATAGAGGTGGTCAGTAGACCAGACATAGTCTCAGTGAAACAACCATCGATATCTGAGACTGAATCGAAGCTTTCGGTCTAGGAATCAGCCAATCCGGTGGCTTATAATCCTCTAGACCACAACATCGCCACATTCAACATTCTTGATCAGTCTTGCCTGTTTGTTCCTTTCTTCAAATGTACAGAGACCGTTACCCCGATGTCATCTCTGCAGGCATCATCAACCGCAGGTCCGCTCGAAGTGACCGATGACCTCATCTACAGTCTGGCCGCTGACGTGGAGACCGTTGACCACCTGGACGCCCTCGGCATCGCTCTTGGATTTGACCAAGCGGCCAGGACTAGATTCCACTCCACCAATAATCTATCAGGGAGTGTGGGCTGCAGAGGGACGCGGGATATGTTAACAGAATGGAGACAACGCACTCCTGGAGCTGACAAGTCGAAACTGAAGAGGGCGCTACAAAAAGCAAGACTGATCGAGCTCTCTGAGAAGTACTTACCAGGTCAGTTAATTCAACAATTTCTCATCAAACACTATGATAATAATAGTGGGTTCTTGTATCGTGCTCATGTCTTGACACTCCTGGCGCTCCACAAATATTACCCTGGCTTTATCATGGCTGCCATTACGGCGCTCTAGCATTTCAATGAATCAATTCCTGTCAAAAATGATGAAATGGCCTATTGTTTGTAAAGGAGATAATGTGGGGTAGACCACGACAAATCAGTTTTTATTTCTGACTATCCCCTCTGCATTTGCTTTTGTTCTTTGAATATGTTTACATGAACTTCTTTCTATAACATTCCACTTATTTACTGAACACGGTATGTATTTTATTGGGAATGTGAATACTTTTATATACAGGGTTTATATGATTTGCATTTGTGGAATAAAATTGCAATGGAATTGAAGATTGAAAATGAAGATTTTTTTTTTTAGTCATACACAAACTATACTTTAACACAAATTATATCATTTCGCTATTTATAAAAAGAGTTCCAGTGAAAAAAAAATTTAAAAATTTGTTTCATAGCTTACTAAAATGGTGATGATATATTTACATTTCTCATTATTTTCAATCAGCTACCAACGAAAATACTTTGAAGGTGGAAAAACTGCGAAGGAAACTGAAGAATCACTACAAACAAGAACTATGTCATCTGCCTTTACGGCCTTGGGACAAAGACTCTTCTCTAAGCTTCAAGAGAAACTTTGTAGATGTAGACCTGTACGAACAAGGACAGCACTGCAAGTGTCCGGAAGACAACGGGACACTCAATGATCTTCTGAAGATGGCCTGTAACGTCCAAGACCATCATTACCGCTTTGCCATACTAGCCAACGCAGGATGTGGAAAGTCGATGCTAGCAGCTAAAATAGCCTACGACTGGTCCCATGAATTAGAGGGCTCTCCGTTGCGGGACGTTCTGCTCTTGTTTGTGATAAAGTTGCGACTTCTGCAGGAAGGTACAGCTCTAGAGGATGCCATCATGTCCCAATTGTTGGTGGGAGGCGAGGAGAAGTATTCAGCTGGAGTTCTGAAGACGTTCATCGAGGAGAACCAGAGCAGGTGCATGCTGGTCTTTGATGGCTGCGATGAGTACATCGCTAACATCCTGGCCAAGGACATCAAGAGCGATGTTGTTTCCGTCCTCCGGAATCACTGCCTTCAAGAGTGTCCAACAGTTATCACATCCCGGTTTCGCCACCAGAGAAGCTTCACGAAGGCAAGTCAGTCCTACGTGAAGATGGAGCTGCGTGGCTTCACGCTGGATAACGCCAAACGGTATATCCGAGGATTCTTCCATGATCAGAGGGAATCTGGAGAGAAACTGAGGCAGTTCCTAGACAGTAGCCATGTGGTATGCCAGCTGGTGCAGATACCGCTCTTCTGCGTCATGGTGTGTGACCTTTGGCAGCAGGATGCTCTTGAGGATGTCCAAACCCAGACAGGTCTTCTCAACCAGGTCATCCAGTTTCTCTGGCACCACTGGATAGCAAAGAAGGAGAGCAGTGAGGACGAAGAGAGTTCCTACAGCAGTGATGAAGCGGAATCAGCATATGCCAGTGACGATGAAGCATCCCACAGTGATGATGAAGCATCTCAAGATGAGCTTCAGCCACTGCTCTTGAAGCTAGGCAAGGTGGTCCTGGACCTCCACCTTAAGGACAACAAGAGGACAGTCTTCTCCGAGAAGGACTTCAAGTGTGTGCGTGCTGAACTAAAGGAAGCCTGTCAAATGGGACTCATGTCGCAACGAACGGTGACGGAGACAAGAATGAGGATGGGCAAGAAAGCAGAGAGGACAGAGATACAGTTCTACCACAAACTGGCTCAGGAGCACATCGCCAGCAGCTACCTGGTATCTCTCCCGCCTGAAACGCTGGAAGAGACACTATCCAAGATCAAGGACTACAAAGGCATACACATGTATGAGAACCTCCTGCGTTTTACATGCGGGTTAGGTGCAGTGTCCTGCGCACAGGTTCTGCAGCACCTCCTAGGCCAACTGTGGGTGGACCAACCCCTCCCGCCGAACAAGAACGCAACCTTCCGCTTGGCTCTGGACTTCTTGAATGAATGTCCTGAGGTCAGTGATGCCATCAAGGTTCACCTAGAGACAATGTTCCAGGAGAAGTACCTATGTCTGTATGCTGCTACTCCAAGTGCGATACAAGGACTCCAGAAGCTTCCCCAGAGCATTAAGAACAAGGTAAATTTTTATGTCGGTGTAACTATACACTACCCCACCATGTATCCATCCAGGTAAGGATCATTAAGATATAAAGCAGCACACCCCAGCGAGAAAAAACCTGCGGTTCATTAGTGTTCAGATCTGGCGCATCGAACCATGCCACTCATGGTAGTGAGATATGCAGTTAGTGTCAAATTTAGTTTATTTACGCTTGTAAGGCATTAATTTCAACAAGCAGAACCACCCAATTAATACACTGGAAGCAGATGAAGCCATTAAACAAAGTTATGTGATACAGTCGCAAAATCATCAACGGATCGCATGTTTAATAAGATTGTGAATGGATATTTTTTCCCCATACCTGAAATTCCTTTATTGGTCCGATGGTATCCCACATTAGAGCCTTCCTGATTCTTGCAATATCCACAGACACTCCTACATGTAGTAACCTTGGCACTTTCTTCTTTTTTTTCCCTTCGATGTTCAGATCAGAATGATGAGATTCCAGTCGTCAGAAATGTCGGTGAGCAGTTGTCTGGAGTTCATCAAAGTCCTCCCGTCGTTCCGTGAACTACAGCACCTTGGTCTGCGCGGTGTGAACGCCTCCGAGCCCTCACTTGTATCTATCGTGGAGTCGGCCAGGAGAGGGATGAAGGTCAAGGGTGTGCTGTAAGTATAGTCCCATCCACTCTCATCCGTGTCAGAAACTTTCCTATCAGGGCCCTGTCTTACAAAGATATGATATCAATCGTAACTTATTTGCAATTGACATCAATCACAACTAATGAACACATAAAGAGATAGGAGACTGCAAACTTGCGATTGATCATAGGACTTGCGATCGATTTGGATCAATCGCAACTCTTTGTAAGACGGGGCCCAAGAGGAGTGTTTCACAAATTAGACTTAGATCAACTTTAAGTTGGGTTTAACTATTGCCGGCCGTTTATGCCACTATGATCTTCTTTAGATGATATTTTCTCCTTCAATTACATTTCTTTTTTAAATGTAAATTCTGTAGATTTGTGACCATGATTTGTCCGTCCCTTGAAACAGTCATCCACCTGGGCTTTACCGACTGAACCAAGTCGCCTACTCAAATGGCACCGTGCGATAAACGGTATGCTTGGGCGGAATATTCATCAGTTCAGCATGGCTTTAATAGAAATATGTAGCCCATTTAAACTTGAATTAGGTACATGTAGCATGTCATTTGGCGTGAACTGAACTAACTCCATTTTCTTCATTTCGTCTTGCTGTTCCTTCAGATTCAGGTTCTGCTGCACAAGTAAAGGTGGCGCATTGTCCAAGTACCTTGAGGAGAATAATGTAGCCGAGAGCTCACCAAACAGAATGAGAGTCTTGGTGCACAATGTAAGTGATAATATGAACATCATAATCTCCTTTAATGCCCCACTGCACTACTTAAAGCTACTTGCGCCCTTTATATAGCAAACAATGCCTAATTGGTGACCATTGGTCCCCAATGATCCTCTTTTTCTTAGGTTAATTGAGAGCTTATTTGTTGAGATAACCACCTGTCACGGACCATGCAGGGAGGTCTAATCCCTCCTGGCCAAACTAGTGCGGTGGGGCTTTAAATTAATAGAGAACAAGTCGAATTTTGGGCCCTGTTTCATAAAAACTTCTTATCAATAACAAGTTACAATAACTGTTATAAGATACTGAAATCGTGGCATTTAATTTGGCTGAGAGCAAATTTGTCTTAGAAAATTAGCTTTTGTTTAATATTGATATAGCAAGTTTTATGAAACAGGGCCCGTATTCAATTCAACACCTAAGTACACAATTTAAGCTTTTTACTTAGTATTTGGCTTAGAAAAAATACTTAGCCAACTTTGATATTCAATTCACACTTTTGGCTAAGTATTTTACTCTAAATCTAAGCCAACTCCATACCAGACTTAAGCCAATTATTTGGAGGCCTTGATTGGCAGGCATATGGTTTTCTTACGCAGTATCATAACCTGCGCACAATTATATCAGCGCGCATTTATTGCAATGCATCAATTGCGCATTACTTTTGATTGACCGTGTGACGTCACAATGCTTATCAGTAAGCATTTTGCTTAGATATTGTCTTACGTAAGTATAAGTCTAAAATGCGATTTGAATACGAGATAAGTAAATTACTTAACTTAGCCATTTACTTAGTAAATTTCTTACTTATGCTAAGTATTGAATTGAATACCGGCCCAGGGCCCTAGTGTAGCCATGAGTAAGTTGAAAAGGTATCCAGAACACAAGCACATTGCAATGATAGAAAGAAATAATCTTTGAAAACCCAAGACCAACATTTATGTTGAGCCATATTATTTTTTTGTAGATTTCTAGGAGCATGTACCAATTAGCTAGGCATGCCAGTGGCTTTGCCCACCATCATTATATTAAAGATACGCTTAAAAATTAAAAATAAATTCTCACATAATCCAACAAAACTTACACTGAATGTTCAAGATTGCCCAGTACAAACAAATGACATGTGCCAAACGATTTTGGTAGAATATGTATAGGGTCCGAGTAAATAGCATAGAAAGATAAGGAAATCTAGGTATGTAGGATCAACACCATGTGCTTAACACAGGACACCCTGTACAAATGAGAGTTCTGGTTTTTATTAAAGATTATTTCCAGCAAGTTTTTTGTGTGGTTGTTTTTATTTTACTGGTTCAAACAATCAATCTACTGCAGGATGAACAATCCAGAATGAATTATAGCCGTGTTCCCCTAACATACGATGCCCATGAAGCTCAAGATTAGCATTGAAGTCAGCATTTTCCCTCTTACAAAGGGTTACTGACTTGATGACACTCCCTCCCTCCATTTCTTCTCCTCTCGAGCATCCTCCTCATTTAGACCAACCTTACTGCCTTTTTTCTTCACCAAATCGTTCTTCACCATGAGATCTTCGGCCTTCCCTCTTATGCCATCTACTTCCAGATCCCAATCTCTTTTCACAGGTTCTTCATCTCAACACATCACCCATCATGACTTCCACCACAGTTTTTTCCAGACCCAACCTGTCCATGAGCTCACTTGTGTTCTCTCTATCGGATAGTTTCACACCACACATCTTCCATATCATGGCTCTTTCCATTCTCTTCAAGATACCATACCGGTATATGTTTTGTTTTTAAATCCTCACTCTGCAGCACTACTTGAAACAAGTTTAGCATAGTGCTTTCTTATTATGCTTATTTCGTAAAATTTCGTTCATTTCTTATTGCAGGAAAATGAGTCTGATGGAACATACTACGTTCCCCGCACTACTTGAATGCCTAGGAGCTTGTCATCAGTGATTCTCTGGTTTCCAGATCCCTTGTGCGGAGAAGTTGAATGCAATACAGGGTTTCATCTCAAAACGAAGATGCTCAACGAAGATGCATTAAGCCGAAGAGTCATCATTGACTGGAACACACTTCCTGAAGAGGTAGTCACTGCTACCACGGTGAATGCCTTTAAAGCCAGACTGGATCGAGTATGGAAGGACAAGCGTTTCTGCTCCCCATATGAGTAGAATACCCGACGCAGAACTGAGCCAGACAAACTTACCAAGAAGACACCCAACTACGAGAAGGAAGAAAATGAAATTGAACTGGAAGCCCGACTGCTAAGAAAACAGCATGCTTCTAGAATCTCGGTTAAAGGTAAAGGTGAAGTTAGGCTCAGAGCCCCAAAGACAATCGCAAAGGATTTCAACAAAGCCTACTCCAGGTTCTGTATTCAATAATTAAATTATGTCAGTAATTTGTCAACAGGCCTATGGGAGTGAAACAGCCATGCATTTGGCTTAGCTAAGTAAAATTGAGGAAAAAAAACACCTTTGAACACTGCCACAGTAACACAAGGGGATTGGCTATTGTGCCATGAAGACTTCACAAGAACCCATTGTTATACATCATAAAGAAATGGATACTTGTATTGTAAATTTGTTTTTCTTCAAACATTTTGATTTCGATTGCATTTCCTGGTAGGTAACTTAGGGAAATGTAGTGTCACCAAAAGACGCGTCCATCAAGCAAAATGCATACCGGTAATAGTTACGGGAGTAATGTTTGTTAATCAAAGGTTCTTTTGTCACATATCTGCATTAAAGTTTAGCTAACATTAAGAGTCATCGAGATGGTACATGCATTTACCAGCTCTATATCCTAACGATGTGTTTACGTTCTACCTCCAAGTGATACAAATATGATTTTTAACAATTATGCATTTTGCTTTCCAGACGCTTCTTTTCGTGTCACTACACCTCACAAGCTACCTTACATGTAACTCGCATTAGAACTTCCAATTTGTTTCCCTCTTTTGTAAATCAAACTACCTTTGTTTTTAATTTTTCAGGTATTCATTTTTTAAATCTATCTAAATATCGTGTAATGAAATGTTGCTCGATTGTTTATCAATCTTGCAGAGTATACATTCCATGTTTGTGCAATATACATGTAAATATAGTTTGTGCTAGCTTTTTTAAAAGCTCTATTTATATAGAATGTAATGTCAGGTCTGCTTTTTAGACTAGTTTGTAGTGTGCTCATTTGCAATTGCTTATAATGGGTGGTATTCTCGAATGCAGACTAACTTTAGTCCATTGTTTAATCCACTAACTAAGTCTGGAATGCCAAGTGTCCATATGAATATGTTTTTGAATAATTTAATTTGTCACTAAATTAAAATAAAATGTAATAACATAATTAATAAACAACAATATAACTGTGATATAATCATGTTATCATGGTAATTTAGGGACGTATCAAATTATTCAAAAATATATTCATATGGACACTTGGCATTCCATACTTAGTTGGTGGATGAAACTGGATGAAAGTCTGCTTTCGAGAATACCACCCAATATCAAGCGATCAAATTAACAGGGTTGCCTTTTTTAGGACGTTAAACAGTAATTTTTGTGTGCACCTTAGCTGGGCAGGGCCAGCTGATTATCTCTGGAGTTCCTGGTATATAAGCAGCCTCCACTCCGCAGCTAAGATCCCCACAAATATAACTGCGTAATGTAATTAAAGTATTTTAAAGTTGTGCATTTGTAGTTGCCAGGCCTGATAAAAACTCGATTTAAATCGGTTTCCCGATTTTTTTGATTTTTCCCGATTTTTTACCGATTTTTTTTCTTCTTCCCGATGAAAAAAAAAAAAAAAAAAAAATCCAGATTTTTTTAATTTTTTTTATTTTAACCAGATTTTTTTTCCTTTCCTATTTTCCCGATTCCCCCCTTATTTTCTCTATTCTTCCCTATTTTGCCCGATTTTTTCCCCAATCTTGTTACTCGAAAGGTGGGAATGTTGTTAGGTGCCATTTTTTCCCCGCGAATCCTCTTCTTTTTTTTTTACTCAAGGGGGGCGTGGTGAGAGAAAAACAAAAAAACCTATTTTTTTTCTAGTGTTCACTATCACCCCTGAGTTGCTTATACAAAATGACAGTCAAATTTATAGGGCTGCCTTTTTAAAGAAGTTGAAGATGTGCTTTGTTGGTGCTAGTAAAATGAGTCAATTTAACAGGGCAGCTTTTATATATTTCATGCTCCTTTATTATGTAACTCCTTATAGAATAATTAGGAATTATTGGTTGTTCTTAAAGTTACAACATTAATGTCATATGACATTTCCTTTCTTCATTTTAAATGTATTTAAAACCAAATTGGAAACATTCCATCTTAGTTATTCCTGAAACTGTTTATCTATTTAATTCTTAATACAATTTTGTAATCACTTATCAGTACTATATACAAATGTTTAGATTAGGAAGTCCAAGATATTTTATATTTTTTTACTTTAAGATTTAACATTAACATTTAACATTAGCATTCGTTTTACTATACATCTCATAGTAACGATGATACATGTTTCTTATAAAGTACTTTACCATTAACTGACCAAAGTGCTAACAATGTTATCATTAGTATCCTGGTCACTAGATTTCTTTACTATTATGCCCATTACAGCGCACATTCTCCACTCTCTGGGGAGCATTCCAGCTAGTCGCATTTTAACCCAATGATACTATCAATTGGACAGACATATTGCCAACATCAATTTATGAACGTGGCAATTTTTTTAAAAATTTTAGAATATATGTTAATCTATTTATTTCTCATAATTTGGTGGAACCATCTTTCAAATACATTGTCTTTGTGTATTGATGCAAGATTCATGCAAGATTTTGTTTATATAACATTCTTTATATATTGGTTATATTATTTTGTTATTTATTTGAACATGATATCACTTTGTATGGATAATACATTTTGTTTGTATATACATATATGAAGAGTTCGTGCACGCGTGCTGTTCACACGTTGCAGCAAATCGCCTTAAACTGTATTTGAAACGGATGGTCAGTGCATGTTTATTTATGCGTGTCATGCTGCTGCTCAGTGATTGGTCATTCCCAAGAGCAGGCCATTGTTTTCGGGGATGAAACAAGGGGGTCTGCTCGCTATTCATAAGGGTCATCATTCATAATTGAAGAAGAGGGCTTGTATTTATGGGGCTCTATATTCATAATACGAGAAGAGGGTTGCTATTCATAATATGTGAAGGTTGAAGATGAATAGCGACCCTGATTTTGTATTACGAATAGCAGTCCTTAAATGTCCCTCAATGTGAATATAAATAGCGACCCTCATCTCACATTATGAATAGCACATGAATAGCGGTCCTTCACATACACTGTATAGAAAGTTACACATTATGAATAGCGGTCCTTATGACTAGCAAGGTTACCCCAAAGCAAATCAGTTATGGAACTGAACTGAAATGAATTTACCAAGTTTTAGAACCACTCTCTTTGGAGGCCAGTACATTTTTATTTTCTCACTTTAAGAAATTCAACTTTTTGGATGGGCCAATATATGTCTACCTCTTGCAATACAGCCAGTTTTTATAAAAAGGGGATGTAGCATGTTTTGTAACAGAACTCTTCATAATGTATATGCTTTTAAACTTTTCAGATTAATTTTTGAAAAGTGTTTCTATTCACGGTCCTACAATACTTCCATCTATGTGTGTACTGCAAAATAATGAAAGTTTGTGTGGTTATATATAATTTTCCTCGTATTGAAAATACTGCAGTGAGTACACGCTTGTGTGTCTATCCCCATAATGCCTTTCATGCTCAAGATGTGTCTTTTTTCACGCAAAATGAATTCCACAAAATAGTTGGTATGTACAGCACAAAGTTCACAGGCTGAAAATTATAACGAGGTTCTTGGACCGTGGGAATAACTTTGTTATATCAGGAATCTTTTTCATATAAGGGTAAAAAAAACAAAAGAATATAAAGACCTACTGTATAGCAGAGCTCTTCTCTTTATAATGAGTTTCCACTGTATATGTATGTTCAAGCAAGCGCAAATGACATTTGCATTTCTGGATTATCTGGGCCTACATTTGGAGGAAAAAACTTACTGATTAAGCTAGTTGTCAACCAATTGCATAGGCTATAATAGTACATACAATGAAACCTGTCTCTAAAAACCTCTCAAGGGAGACAAGAAAAGTGATCTTTATAGGCAGGTGGTCTTTATGTACAGGTTCAATGAGAAACTATTTTCAAGGGAAACAAAAAAATGTGGTCTTTGTAGACAGGTGGTCGCTAATAGCAGGTTTGACTGTAGTTGGTCAACAACTATGATTAGTAAGGTTTTACATGTACAGGTATAATATGAGCCTAACTTCGCCAGAAATATTTTTTGGAGCCCATCGTTTGGTCAGGATGAATTTCATAGGCTATATTTGAACGTCTTATGATATTTCTTGTTCTATAATATCTTCTGGCCCGCATAAATTTTGTAGGCTATTCAGGAATATGTTCTGGCAAGTGAGATGAAGATATGACTAAGTGCAAATATAAAAGCTATATTTTTAAATATTGTATGCATTATTTGATAAAGAGACTATGCAATGAAAATAATAAACTGCTTGAAAATATCAAGAATTGATGTCAGCATGGTCTGATTTGATATACAGTGTATTTTGGTGTGTTTGGTGCATTTTTGTGAAACAGAATTTTGGTTACATTACGAAAGTGGCTTATTGACATGTTCCCAAATATCGAATATGAAGTTATTTGAAGAGTCATCCTTTTCAGGGGACATATCTTTTTATGATATGCTTCCACACTAACGTTAAAAAAATGAAAAATCTCACACATTTTTCACCTTACCAGAACTCAACCTTCTCTTTTTAAACCCATAACACAATAATGACAAGGAAGAAACATGAACACAATCAGATTTGTTTTTCTTCAAAATACTCTTATTTACAAATAACCTCCGAATCGCGGAGCTCATATTAAAAAAAGAAAAATCGCAAAAAAAAAGTTGGACATAAAACAACAAAAAACAAGCATTTTTCCTTTCAAAAAACTTACAAAGCATTTAGCCTACATACAAACATACAGTCACATACACTAGTCTTATACACTGTACTCGCTAATATTCTACACAACAGGACATTAATCTACATTGTACAATATTTAAATAACATATTTAAAGAGAAATGCTTTTTTGTGACGACTCCTTTCCGAACCATATCAACAAAAGACTAGCGAATATCCTCCCAAAACAGAATATTTCGCGACCTGTACAAAACAATACACTGTGCTGGTAACTGTTAATTAGAATTATTTTTACACGTTGTGGCGAGAACCAATCCTTCCAATCACTCTTCAAATGGGCAATCCATGATTACATTACACAATCGTATTCATATCTTTCAAATCGTGTGGATTCAAACAGAATCATGCGAAACCCCCATTCGCAAGGTTGTGTACAGTCTTTCCCTGAATTATGCGTAACAATCATTTTTAAATCATGTGATATACTTGACTTAAAATGAAAATTGTGGAAAATGTAATTTGGACAGTATCAAAACCTCTAGCAACTAGAATATAATGAATGAATATTCTTTGGATTTGTTAAGGTGTTATAGAACTTAACCAGAACATAAGCTTAGCTTTAGAAAAAACCGTGCTGCCATCTTCATTGAAAATCAAATTGCTTTTTTTTAAAATGCAACTTGTTATGGTTGCAGTGCCCTCAGGGAGAACAGTAAAAATACTGATGAGGCTACCCTGGGTAAACAAGACGTATTATTATTATTATTATAACCACAAGGCATAGGTAAAAATAGATTAATTAGGGATCTTCTTTTTGGAAAGAAATGGTTTAAATAGTGTCATAAATAATGCAATTAATATTTGATTTGCCTGTTAAATTTCATGCATCGTTATGGATCTCTCCAAACCGTACTTCAATGATTGAATATAAAATAAATAAGCAAATAAATAGTTATCAAAGCAGATAAATAGGAGATTTTCAAGCAAAAACTGCTCAAGAATGCTGCATTAACTTGACCCTTTAAAGGCACAGTATTTTACTGACATTGCTATACTACTGCTGTAATGTATGCTCAATCGCGGCATCTTTCAGTGTAGGCGTACATAGATAGAGCTATTTCTGGTTCCTGTACTCAAACATCGGGCGCGAGTCACCAGTTGGTGATGCATTGTGGGACATGGCTGTCAACACATCAGGACATTGTCAGCAGCAGATGGCAGTATATGTGAATCTAAAGTAGTGTCAGTAAAATACCCTGCCTTCAAAGAATAATATTTGATCTATAAAGAGCCTTTTCTTAAGATAAGTGTATGCCATGATGATCATTACCTGGAACAAAAAAAAAATGAGGGTTACCGTAGACTTTGGGGTCAGACATATTAATTTGAACAGAATACGCAAAGACTTTGCTTTGTTTCGTGACCTTTCATCTCTCACTTCCTCCACACAAAAATACTTTGACAAATATTAGACCCCCCCCCCCCTTCTTTTTTATTTTGACAGATATGCTTTATGTTCAGACCTCAGTCCTTGTGCATTTTGGGGGCGACTCTGTATCAGAAAGGTAAATGGGCCTTTTGTCATCATTTTCAAGCCTTCTAGTCGTACTAATAATTGAAAAAGGATTGGGACGATCGTTAAGTAGCATCAGAGTGCCTTACCAATTTGCACATATACAGTTGACAAATAAATAATTTATACCCCTTTTTTCATTTGTCCTTTGTGTCTTTTAGTAACTCAAGCATGAAAGGTGGACTGGTTGAATTAGGGCCTTCAATTGTTGAATACTTTTAGATGTAAGCTTCAATGTGTCACATTCTCAAAGAAACTTTAATCGAAAGAAGTTAATTATATCCACAAACTTAAATGGAAATGAACTCTGTGATGATACAAGTGACTGTCATTTTGGTCAAAAACAGACAATCTAACGTTTTAGCCACATTTATTCCACCCCCCCCCCCCCCCCCAAAAAAAAAAAAAATAAATAAATAAATAAATAAATAAATAAATAAATAAATAAATAAATAAATAATTTTAAAAAAAATTATAATATGGACATTGATTCATCTTCCTTCCTTATGTCACTAAAGTGATCATTTAGCGACTTTTCAAAATGAATTATATCGAAATTAAAGAAAGCAAACAAAAATTGTTGTCAAAGTGTCCTGTTTTGTCTCCTAAAACCGACTCTCTCTTTATCTTATACGTTCACCACTTTACCCATAAAGCTCATTACTATTATCCATTTCGATGTCACCCATCTTTTTTCACATATGACATAACATATACCACATACTTATTTGCATTTATATACACATACTCGTTATCAACTCTGTTCAAAGACCTTCTGCAATAGACCGTTTCTGCTGTATCTTTCAATGAGGCCCTACAAAAAAAAAACACTTACACCAATATACATATATGGGACAAGGTATTGAATTTGAGTTTGTTTTTTTTAAACACATCTTGGGGGGCGTTTCACAAAACTTGTCATCAGTTTTTGTTATAAGCTACTGAAATCCTTGCTTCTGATTGGTTATCAGCAGATTTGTCACTGATTTTTGTCATTTGTCATTGAAAAAAGGCTTTGTGGAATGGGTCCCTGGTCTATGAATGGACAATAAATACTTAAAGAGGAAGTTGAGTTCTGTGGAGAGGTGACAAATAATTGGTGAGCATATTTTCATCGTTATTATGCAAGTGTGGAAAAAAATCAGAGAAAAATGTACACTGAAAAGCATGGCTCTTCAAATACCTTCATATTCTAAATATATGTAACAGCTTAAAAATAAGGACCACATTTTTATGCCAAAAGTTTGTGTAGTCCAATGAACATCTGTCTGTGAAAAGTGCTTGTTACTTTTATCAAGACTGGACCAAATTTCATTTCATTTTGATGATTCCAGAACCTTGTAGTACTTTTTATATGCTCCATGATAAACTTTTTCTGTTCAATTCCACACCGTTTTTTCCACAATGCAATCGAATGATCAGAACTCAACTTTAATTCCAATTTAATTTTGGTTGTCGTTTGATTGGTCTGTATAAGCACTTACCATTATTATATTATTATTGTCTTTTGCTTGGAGTGAATGGCCCATTACAGAGTGTATCTAATATGAATAAAATGAATAAAATTCAAACAGTGGTCCAGGTTAAATGCCAAGAAAGACAAATCCAGAAAATCTGCCAGGAGTAAATAAAGAGTCCCATATTTGCTTGTCATTCTTGGTGTATTTTTTTTTTAGTGTTTATTGTTTTTAAAAGACATTTCATATTCTCCAAGATCGTGTTGTTCTAAACGTAACATGTTCGGATCAACACCTCAGGATGCAATTTCTCTTGAAAATACTAAAGTTTCTTTACAAGAACCCAGAATTAATCACCATTATCAACTCTTTATAATATGCCACACAAATAATCTCATTGTGTCACATTGTATTTGTTGTAGAAAATAAATACCAACGGTTCAAAAAAAAGTTTTCAAGTTATAATCTTACCTTCAAAAGAACGCAACATGGTGTTCTTCGCCAACTACTTGGTTGAGCCCAATTTTGGAATACCTCTAATAATTTGACAAGGACAGAATTATACAATCCAACCTGTCTAGTAAGGCCACCCGGTGAGAAACAGGAAAACTGACCACTGTCAACAGGTGGCCTTTCTAGACAGGTTTTACGACACACATTAGGGGAATGAGAAAAGTAAACAGGGTATCCTTGGGTTAGGTGACATTCACACTACAATTTGGTCCTTTCACACTTAATTCTATTTCTTCTGTTTGGCGTTATAAGGGCGTTGAGTCTCCACTCATTTGACAAAGAGTTGAGGTTCCCAATGGCTCAAAATGGAGGATTACCCCAGACATTCGTTCATTTTGCCCTCTTAATGTGCCCTCTTAATGTGGAAAAGAAAAGGAAATAATTTAATTTCTGCATTGCTATTTTAAACTTAAACCTCTATCAAGATTTGTTTTTTCTACATGAAGAAGATTTTCAAAACTAACAAGGACTCTTCCATTTAAATTTGGAGGGGTTCAATTTCATAGCAGCCTCTTGAAGGGAATGACAAAAATAAAAAATAAAGTGTTCACATTACGTTTCTACAAGAGGATATAATGCTTTGAGTGACTTCAAACAAAAACAGAAATTGAATCTTCTTCAAATAATGTAACTCCTCGTACTGGTGAGCTTTCAATTCATAACTTATTTCAAACTGCATTCATCACAGAATCCCTTTATTGTTTTCAGTTACGTTTTTCTCTTTAAGGGGCTCATTCACACCACCTCAAAAAACCTGTGTAACATGACGTGAGTGTTGTGCGTTTCTAATTCCCATGTCTTGAACCACCAAGTACACAACTATATGCTTATGGGCTTTTGCCGAGAACGGATCCCATTTTAAGCCCCTGCCAGCTCTTCCCTTGAATGTAAAATGTTTTTAATCTGTGCAGCGTTTTTTTTTCTTCTCATATTTCTTTTCTCTTAAGGCGGTTGTTGTGTTATAAGGGAACAGGTCTTCACTATCAGAACATAGATCCCATAGATAAAAACTTAAGGTAGAAGAATGTGATTTAATATTCCATCGAGCGCGATTGACGAACATTCATACAGATCAAAACAAATTTAATTTACATTTTAGGCTCGATACAGTCCAACAAAAAGTGAATACTTCCAAAGAAATTGACTTGCCACATCTTAACGGCATGTCTTACAATGCTTGGAGCTAGTTCATCAGTGACATGATCCAATTTGAACAACAACGCAGGGTTCCATTAGCAGACCTACCCTGCATATTTCACAACAATATTAAAATGACCATTTGTACATATTACAAGCATTTGGTTGACACTGTTATACATTCATCATAATATGACTCTTTTTTTTTTTTTTTTACTTTGGCATGTTAAAATTGGGACCCATTGGATCTGGGCCCATGGGTCCAAAGTTCGGGTCCCCGTAGGGTGATCCACCCGGGCCCATTGGTCCTCCTGGGTTCATCCCCCCATATCCTGGCATGCCCCTAGGTCCCATGTAACCCATGTGATTGGGACCTGGTACCTGGCCCCGAGGGCCGCCTGGGTTTGGCCCGCCTCCAGGCCCCATACCGTAACCCTGATGCATCATCATCTCCTGGTTCATCATTGGTGACATCCGAGGGCCAGGTGCCATCGGACCAGGTCCGCGCGAGAACGACGGGTTCATGGTCCCGGGGTTCATACCCCCGGTGACCATCTCCACTGGGAACGGAAGCTCTATTTGTTTGGGCCCCTGCCCCGGGGTTGGCCCGGGACCAGGATTCACATGCGGGTTGCCCGTTTGGCCCTGTCCACCGCCTTGATTAGTGTTCGCTGGGAAATACTGAAGTGTTTGTTTTGGTCCTTTTCCGTCCGGTAATAACGGCGGGGAGAATCTACTTTGTAATAACGAAAGAGGACTGTTGGCTTGTCCGCCCGATGTCGCGGGGCCCATGTTGCGCTCCATTCCCCCCATGACGCCCATCTCAGGCCCACCCTGACCCATTCCCATACCCATCATACCAGGGTGTGGCATGTTAGTCCTACCGGGGCCTGAGGGCATGCCACCACCTTCCATGAACCCACTATGAGGCATCCCTCGAGGCCCTGAGAATCTCATCATGTTGGGATGCATCCCTGGACTCATGCCAGGTTCAAAGTTGTTCATACCCTGCATCATTCCGCGATCCATCGGATGAGGCATCATCATGCCCGGACCTCCCGGCATCGGCACAGGGCCACCGTCCATCATAGGGTGGCCTTGGGACATCATACGCGACTGTCTCATGATCATCTGTTGCTCGCGAGACATCGGGATTCCCTGCGGTCCCATCATGTCGACCGGGCCCATGGTGGGGGACATCATGCCCGATGGCATGTTATGAGGCATCATGCTGTTCTGGGGCGACATCATCCCGCCAGGCTGTTGCATCCGCGCTGATGTCATCATGGGTCCTGGACCCTGCTGCATCATAGGAGACTGCATGCTCTGCTGCGGTCCTGCCATACGGGGATTCATCATAGAGGCCGAGACAGGTGGTGGTCCTGGTCCACCCATCACTGGCCCACTGGGACTATGTCCTGGGCCCATCATAGGACCACCCTGCTGTGAAGGTGGAGGTCCTTGTCCTCCTTCCATACCATGAGGCATCATTCCGCTTTGGGCTGGCATTCCACCCGGCGGCATCCCACCTGGAGGCATCCCACCTGGAGGCATCATCCCAGACTGCGATGTCATCATCACGCCTGGAGACATGATCCCACTCGATGGTGAGCCAATGGTCGGCATGTCTGCGTTGATTGGACTGTTCATTGGTGGTGACCCAAAATGCTGTAACCGCCCTGGGCCTTTCATGGGCGGCTCTTTAAGAGTCTTTTGGTAGAACGTCGACGCGTACTGCTGCAGGTCTTCACCACGCGGCGGGAAATTTGGCGCTTTGTCTCGGTTCAGTTGGCTGGGAGGAAAGTTGACAAGACGCTGCTGGGATTGGACATCCATGGGCTTCCCGGCATCACTTGCTGTTGTGGTTGTGCTTCCTGCAGAACTGCTAGGGGTTGGCGCACTGGTAATACTCGAGGTTGGGGGAGGTGGCGCACTTCCAACGTTACTATTCCCACTTGTTGCATTACTCTGCGCCCCTTTACTATGAGCTGTTGTAGGAGGCAGTACAGATGATGTTGACATCGTGCTGTTTACGACAGAGTTTGGAGTTCCAGGCTGGGAGGTATTAGGAGTGTTGACCGATGAGACGTTTGGCAGGACTACAGGATTATCCATAGCAGCAGGGGTACCTGGGCCTTGATTAGGCCTTGGTGACTGTTCCAAGGGGCCAACGCTTCCCGGCGTTCGCACCATGGAGCTCATAATGGGATCGGTGTTCTGCTGGGGTTGTTGGTTAGCCGATGTGTTTACACTGGTTGGGGTAGGAGCCCTGTAGACTGGTTTCATCGGACTACCAACAGGTGCGTGAGGTGACATGGTGTTGGCCATGGACATTGAGCTTGCAGAATTGACAGGACCTGGACCAGGCTGTGGCCCTGGAGGCATGCTGTTTGGATTCATGGGTCCAGGTCCTGCACTCATCGGAGGCTGCGATGCTCCACTGGGCATTCCAGGCACCGAGCTGGAGCGGTTCGTGCGTGGCGATGGCATATGCGGTGACATCGGGAAGGGTGCATTCTGGCCGCCCATTCCTCCTGGTCCTGGTGGCCCACCTGGCCCACCTGGCCCGCCTGGCCCTCCTGGTCCACCTACCATCCCCGGACCTGGTCCACCCGGTCCCATTGGCGGCATCGGCCCTGACATACTAGCTCTCCTCTGCATGCCGTGCGGAATGGGACCTGGTCCTGGAGGTCCCCCGACCATTTGTCCTGGTCCTGCTGGATAAGGCGGAGGCGGGCCCATGTTCATGCCCATTACGTCCCCGGGGAATCCCCCACTGCCCGGATGGTGCGGACTCATCATCGGTTCTCCTCGCATCGGACCACCTGGTCCGTGCCCCGGACCCATGCCCCCCGGTGGAAAATCTGACATGCGGCCCTGCATCTTGCCCTGGTCGTCCATCATCTTGCGTCGTTTGTCGAGGTAGAATTCTTGCTGTAGTTTGTACCACTCCCGTTGAGCAGGAGACATGTTTTCCCAATCAGGAGGTAGTGGGGGCATCATCATACCTGCAAAGACATCAAAAAATTGCAATTAGTAAAACTACGATATAAATATTTGATTTGAATTGATTTTATTTATTGATTTCTATATCATATTTTAAACATACATATATTTTAAACATACATAATGTCCATCATTGTGATACAGTCAAACCTGTCTACAGCAACTGCCCAAAGGAAACACAAAAAGTGGCCTTTGTAGACAAGTTCCTTTAGTTCATGTTTCAACAAGAAACACAATTTTCAAGGGAAACAAAAAATGTGCTTGTTGTAGACAGGTAGTCTTTGTAGGTAGGTGGTCACTAAAGCAGGTTTGACTGTATAATTTAAGTATTAAAGTACAATACATGATACTCATACTGTATAGAATATGGACAATATAAAGGAGAACATTACTAATTTTTACGATTAACATGACATAGGAGGGATACAGCGCAAGCATGAAGCTTGAAATGCTTGCAGCCTTCGATTAAACCAATTATTAATTAATTAAACTAAACTAACAGCCTATATTATATATGAAACATAATGTAGAGAGGGAATGACTTGCAATCGATAGAGAGAAAAGATAGAGAAAAAGAGGGAAGACTGTAGATAAAACTCCTCCAAAAAAAGTTTGAGCTTTTTAGCTCTCTTGTTACATTATTATCATACTGGACTATAGTATCAATGAAAAGCCTGATTATATTTCCCTTTGCAGTGATCATGTAATCATGGAAAGTGCAGTACACCAGAATATGGATGGGGCAAGTCAGAAATGAAATGCTGCAGAATACAGCAATGTAAATCCTATAGATTTGTGACCACGATTGTTACGTCCCTTGAGAAACTAATGCCAGTAGATGACGAGAGAAATAGTGGTATGAACGGCCTTGCCATAGTTAAGTCCAACTTAAAGTCAATCTTAGTCTTTGTGAAACACTCCCCAGGTGGGCGTTTCATAAAGCTGTGTGTAAGTTACGAATGACTTTACTAATTATTTGAATATGAAGAGCAAAATGGAATGCCCAAAGTTTTTCCTGACATTTTAACAAAGTGTGACTGTATTTCCCATAATATATATTAAATCGTAGCCAAAAATACACTTTGCATTAAAATGTTTCGTAAATAATGATAAGGTTAATCTACATTTGCATATTTCAACTTAAGATTATGCAATTAAAAGGATTTGAGAATCCCATTTTGCTCTTCATATTCAAGTCATTCGTAAAGTCATGTGGCACCTTACGCACAGCTTTATGAAACACTCCCTGGGGGGTGTTTCACAAAGATCCTAAGTCCAACATATCTCTAAGTTAGACTTAACAATTATGGAAAGCCGTTAGCATCTTTAGAAATATTTGGTAAAAGTTGTTTTAAAAGGCATAAAATGATAATTCAAATCATTCATATTTTCTATTATCAAGGAAATTTCATGTTCTTGATTAGGAATTTATAAAAAGTCAAAAATACTTGAATTTTGCTTTTTAATATATTTTATTTTAAGGCTACAAATGGCTCTCCTTAATGTTTAAGTCCAACTAAGAGTTAAATTCCACTTAGGATCTTTGTAAAACATCCCTCCCCCCCCCCCCCCCCCCCCCGGTGAATGTTTCTCAAAGACTGAGATCGACTTTAAGTTGGACTTAACTATGGCAGGCTGTTCATGCCACTATTTTCTAGGACTCGTTGTTCCGCAAGACTTACCAGAGTTGGCCATCATCATGCGTTGGTCTGGACTGATGCCCCTCATACCATCCTGGGCGGGCATACGGGGGTGCATCCCAGGACCCATACCCTGGTGCATCATAGGGTGTGGACCCCCCGGTCCACCTGGGCCCATCATGGGACCGCTCGGACCCATGGGGCGCATCATAGGACCCCCACCTGGAGACATCATGCCTGAGGGGGTAAACAAGAATTTAAGGGAGTGTTAATTTCTGTCAGTAAGTTCAATGAAATGACATGTTATATTTAGACTTGATATGACACTTACATTCATAAAGTTGTAGAGTGCGTTAAAGACCCTATCAGAAGTGAAAAGTGAAACAGATGAATAATATATCGATAGAAGACATAGATTACAATAATATCGATCATATGCTATTTTAGTGTCTGTCAGAGGAGGAAGCAGCTCTCCAAAAACTCGAAATCTAAAGCATTGAAAATCTGAGGTTGTCGACCTAAAAACTAGACTTCTACATCCATTAATCTAGTGACAGTGAATTATAACCTTCTTAACATGGAAATTGACAACCATCTCTCTCTCTCAAGCCGTCCTAGAGTGATACATCTCTCTTCCTCATTATTCATACCCCTTGTACATTTGATTTTTTTTTTTTTTTTTGGGGGGGGGGGGTGGTTTTTTTTTCGCAACTCAAGAATGAAAGGTGGACTGGTTGAAATACTTAGTTGAATACTTGTCAGCTTTAACATGTCACATTACCAAGATACTTAAATTGGGAGAAATCAATTTTCACATAACTAAACAAATTACAAAACTTGGGAAGGGTATGAATAACTTAGTTATAAACTGTACCTGTGAACCTTCTAAAGAAGATTTAGGATATTTTGTATGCATTTAGAAAGAAGACTTTGGAAAAGGAGAGGGTTTATATGTCAGCAAGTATATAGGCCATGTACTGTCAAGGGCAGTTCAAGCCTATCCAGTGGATAGCTGATGGTAACCTCTCTGAAAGCCTCAAGATAGAAATCACTCTTCAAATTAGGAATGGCTGGGAGCTACGGTTGTAAACCTTTCGCTGGACATAACATGAGCTCCTCAAAAAAGAGAGATTAAAGCCCGTCTGTACTAGTTAAACTAGGGGGGATCAGACCTCCCTTCAAGGTCACTGACAGGTGGTTATCTCATCAAATCAGCTCTCAATTAGCATAAGAAAAAGGGGATCATGGAGGACCAAGAGGCAATGATTAGGCATGGTTTGCTATATTGATGGCGCAAATAGCTATAAGTGGTGCAGTGGGGCTTAAGGAAAAGAAATTACCTTGAGGTTGTCCCATGGGGTCTTGCGGTTGAGGAGGCATACCGAGGGGTGACATCATTCGCCCAGGGGATGGAGACATACTGCCATGTTCCTCTGGGAAGAGCAGCTTCTGCATCTCCTTGAGAGTCCTCAGCCGCTCTTGCCGATGCCGCAACTGCTCCGGCGTGGGGTTATCGATCTGCTGCGGTGGCTTGTAGTTAGGCATGTCGTACGGGTTGACCGGCGACGCGGGGAGCGACTGCGAGGGATGCGATGGACTCATGAACGGGCGCGGACCACCTTGCATGCCTGGTGACACCATGTTATCGTTCCCAAGGATGAGTCCTGCACTGGGCGACCTCATGGCGGGGTTAGGTGATGCCATCCTCATCGGTGACGGGTGGGACATATCGGGTGGGAAGGACGGCGCCATGGTGGTGGTCATTGTCTTTTTCACGTTGGGTGGATTCTCCCACAACGCGCTGGGATCAAGGTTCTCGGTTTCTGTCGTGGAGGGTTGATTGTGGAACGACTGGGACGACATGGGCGGGCGCATCGGCATATTCTGTGGCGGGAACCCAGGTCGATACGCGCCTGGTCCATACGGTCCAAAGCTCGGCCCGCTCGGTGGCATCCCCTGTTGCATCGGTCCCCCAGGGCCACCACCTTGAAGGTTCGCCTGAAGCGGTTGCGACGACGAATTTGGTCTCTTGCGTTTCTTGTTGCCTTTGGTCGTGGTTGTACCCCCTCCCCCCGTGCCGCCCTCTTGCGGTGTCTTCCTTGAGTTCTCACTCCCTTCTACCCCTTCCTGGACACTTTGTGGTGTTCCTGGGTTCTTTCCCTTCATACCATCAATGCTTTTCCTAGCACCATCCATACTACTATCAATGGATCCCGGCTTGCCATTCTGGCCATTGGCACTTTGTATTGTCCCATCCACTGATTGTGGTGTATTGTTCTGTTGTGGTGTGCCTGGACCTGTGTTTCCAGTGTGGTTGGGAGCTGCGCCGGTATCCTGGGAAATGAAAGAACAAAAATACTGTTTCATTCTTAACCCCTTGACCACTGAATTACCTCATTCCCATAGGCTTAACACAGGGACCACTTGGTTCCAGTAAGCAAAGGGTTAAAGGCAGAGCTGCCAACCTCCAGAACAGAAAATCAGTAATCACAAGGCTTAAAATCAGTAATTTTGGGTATAAATCAGTAATTTTCTATGCGGCGCTATGACTCTAATAAAAACGGCACGCCAACATTGCACAGACACATGATTATCTGAAATTTTTGGTGATTTTACTCACACAAAGTTGTTAAATAATGAGTATCATATCATCACAACACAGTCTTCCAGGAAAAATGGGGGGGGGGAATATATATATTAAAAAAAAAAAAAAAAAAAAAAAAAAAAAAAAAAAATTTAAATCCGTAATTTTAAACAACATTCCGTAATGGTCGTTAATTTCCGTACCAATTACGGGAAATCCGTACTAGTTGGCAGCTCTGTAAAGGGCAAAACAGGGCCCTGTTCTACATAACTTGTTATCAATAACAAGGTACCATAACTGTTATAAGCTACTGTGGCAGTTGTTATTGATAACAAGTACTATGAAATACAGCCCAGGTTCCAATGGATTGCATAATTGATAGTTACTACAACTGTTATAAGCTACCAAAATTATGACACTAGATTGGCTGAGAGCAGATTTGTTATTGGAAATATAGCATTTGGTATTTATAACAATTTTTTTTTTTAATGTTTAAAGTGGAAGTCCACCCTGATATTAAGTTGGTTTAAATGAAAGGAGAAAAATGAGAGTAAAACGTCATTGAAACTGAGCAATAACCGATTAAAAGTAGGAAAATTTGGAATTTTTGAAATTGTCATCAATGAAACACAAATTGGCAACACAGTGACGTATCTTGCGAGCTCCGCACAGAGTTGCCAATTTGTGTTTAACTGATTGCACCTTCAAACTTTCACTGACCCGTTTCTCCAATTTTTCTGCTTCTTTTAAACACAAACTTGATTATCAGGGTGGACTTCCCTTTTAAATATTACCATGATAAAATCATTTATTGAACAGACCTCTTCTGGATCCAGGAATTTCCTCTTGCAGGACTGTACCCTATGGTAGGCCAGGATAGAGTCGGTCTGACCCGTGTAGACGGCCTGAGCTGCCCGGTTGGCTAGCAGGGTGGAGAAGGTGTAGATGTGCTGGGAGTCTTGCATGGTGAAGTTGGGATGCTGGGGGTAGCCCCCGACCTGCCGATGAAGCATGTTCATACCTGCAAAAGAAACGATGAGGGTCATTAAAGTGTTTGGTATAAGGTGTAGATGTGCTGGGAGTCTTGCATGGTGAAATTGGGATGTTGGGGGTAGCCCCGGACCTGCCGATGGAGCATGTTCATACCTGCAAGAGAAATGATGAGGGTCGTTAGACGATTCGGTATAATGGCCAAGTGTGAACTCGCCTTTATTTCAAATCCAATGTTCTTTCAGATGAATAGCTAGACGAGAGAGTAGACATAGAAAAGTGATTGGAGTTATAGGCCGATATAATTCTTATATTTGTTACATAAAAGACAAATAGAGAGAGAAAGGAGTTACTAAAGGAGGCTACTAGTATGGTTTCTGAAAATGATGATAATCTTATGAACAAATAGGTAGAGCAATAAGGGTGTCTTGAAAAGCTAAGGATAAGACATAAGGGATTCTCTGAAAATCTTGTTGCATCAAGGGCAGAGCGAAGGGAGGTGGAGCTAAGAATCAGGCAGAAAAGATTCTTATATCCAACAGGGAGGATGTGGGGAGCCCACGACCTGTCGATGAAGCATTTCAGGTACAGGACAGAAGGAGGGGAAGAAGAGTAAAGAAAGAAAGGTGGCATGAGGGTTGTATTGTACAGTGCGTCCCAGAAAAAACAAAACCGGGAAATATCAATGTTATATCATAACTTTTTGGTTCCCTCTCTTCAAATTGTTTTTAATCACTCATCATATGAGTTGCATCAAATGAAAGAGGAGGATCTAAGCTTTACAAAATATGGGACGCACTGTATTGTTAAATCTTCAAAGAAAGGAGAATGCACAGCCGACCAAGAGCAGTGCATTTTGTAGTCTAGTTCTGGACCCTTTTATTGATTTTTGATATTCGCCGACTAAAAGCGTTAAGCAGACAATAGATTTCAATATTTTGTGTTCAGCCTTAGACAAGGGTGGCAAATATAGATTAATATCTTGCCAAAGGACATTAGTGTCGTGGCGGGACTCGAACTGCGGACCCTGTGATCTACAGTCCTATGACTTATCCACTAGACCACAACACCTCTACAAGATTGTAAGACTCTTGAGGGAATGTCTTTACACTACCTTTATCATCTTGAGGTCCATTGCTCATCATCTGATTATTCATCTGATTGTTGATCTGGTTCATCTGCCCATCCCGGAGAAACACTGAATCATCCTCTTCCTTCTTCATCACCATGCCAACGACCCCATCCATCCCTCCTCCTCCTCCTTTCATGTGGTCCATTCTCATCATCCCCTGCTGCGACGAGTTCTTACCCCCCAACTCCATCTTCATTGGTATCTTGTCCTCCATCTTCATCCCGCCTGGCCCCGGCCCCGGCCCCGGAGGCGGACCCTGCGGAGGTCCGAGCGGCCCGATCTCATCCTTCAGGTGTAGCGCCCTCATCTTGGGCGAGGCGAGCGAGGTGTTGAGCTTTAGCTCCAGGTCGCTGTCCCCCGCGGCGCTGTTTGCCAATTTGGCGAGTTTTGTCAGTTCTTCAGACATAATGTTTGACGCTCACTGTCTACGGTTTAAGTGTTCACTTTCTATGAAGAGTCACTGTCATCATCTGAATGCATGTTGAACAAGATGTAAATAGCAAAGCAAATGTCTGCAAGAGAAAGATATAAAGTAATTAAAATTCAGAGCAACAAGATTTGTTGTGCTCACTGTCAATCTACGGTTTAAGTCTTCACTTTCTAAGAGTCACTTTCATCATCTGAATGCATGTTGAACAACATCTGAATGCATGTTGAACGAGATCTGAATGCATGTTGAACGAGATCTGAATGCATGTTGAACAACATCTGAATGGATGTTGAACGAGATCTGAATGCATGTTGAACAAGATCTGAATGCATGTTGAACAAGATCTGAATGCATGTTGAACAAGATCCGAATGCATGTTGAACAAGATCCGAATGCATGTTGAACAAGATGTAAATAGTGATGCAAATGTCTGCAAGAAAGAGAAATAAAGTCATAAATTAAAAGCAACAGGAGTGTTGTCACTTATTCGGACATGTTTGACGATGCTCACTATGTCTCTACGGTTTAAGTGTTCGCTTTCTGAATGCATGTTCAACGAGATGTAAATAGCAAAGCAAATGTCTGCAAGAAAGAGAAATAAAGTTATGTAATGCAAAGCAACAGGAGGTTTTGTCATTTCTTGGGACACTTTTTGTCACTCACTGCCTATACAGTGCGTCCCCCCCCCCCCCAAAAAAAAAAAAAAAAAAAAAAAACTGAGAATTTTTGATATTTTATCATAACTTAATCACAATTATAATTAATAAATGACACATATTTGTAAAGCTTAGATCCTCCTCTTTCTTGTGATGCAAATCATATGGACGCATATTTCATGCATGAGTGATTAAAATCAATTTGAAGAGAGAAAACCAAAAAGTCATTTGGCAGACGGTATCTGAATTTCAAAGGGAAAATCACATTTCTAGAAAGTTCAGTTTCTGCCCTTTCATATGACATCTCAATCAGGAAAAATGAATAAGAAATAACAAAGTTCTGTCCACTTCAAGTAATGCTTGCATTTCCATAATTTTAACTAACAAATTCGTTTTCACTGGCTGCCTGCCATAGCAACAAGCAGAATTGACAAAAGACTTAAAACTCCGTTTCGTTGACAATTAGCCATTCATGAAGTCTTTCGTCTCCATAATTGTTTAGGTCAACTTAGAGTTAAGTTCGACTTAGGATCTTTGTGAAACACCCCCCAGGTCACATACAGTTTACTTACTCAATATAAGAATGCATGGTCTATGTTTATTCGCTAATCCAGTGGGATCCAATGCACAGCTGGGCTTTATTCCTCTCATTCAATCAAAAGGATCTGCAATTCAAAGAAAAATGAAAGGAAAATTGTTAATTTCTGAATTTCGATTTTCAAGTTAAAGATATGTAATAATAATAGTAAATCATGTTTATAACACGCCTAATACTTTGTTACTAGGCGCAGTATATATATATTATATGTAAAGTAATACATTTACAAGGAAACTGAATTTGATGCATGTCATATTCTGATTTTGTATGAGAAAGCGTTGTGTCTAAACTCTGAATTTTGTATTGCCTCCCATTTTAAGATACCAATTCATTCATTTTCACTGCTTGAAAACATTGGGGTAGAAAAACAAAATACAATGAACAAAAATATTTGTCTTTGTTATCTAAACACATGTAGAATAATATACAAGCAAAACTCAATATTGATTTTAAAGCATGGTATGCAGCACTACAAGAAAAGCCATGTTTACAGTCCAAATAAAGTGTCGCTTCTCTTTTTTCTTAATTGTGTTTTTTCACTGTTTAAAGGCATTCACTAAGAACATAATGTGATGAACAAGAAATTGTGTCTTTCGTATCTAAAAATTCTAAACAAATATAAAAGGAAAACTAAAAATTATGCATTCATATTTTGATTTGAAGGCATGCATTGTTTGAAACGCTACAAGAAAAGCCATGTCGACACTCCAAAGTATTTGTCGCTTCTCTTTAAGAAAAAAAAATGCTGTTATTTCACTGCTACATGTATAAGACATTCACTAAGAAGGAAAAAATGAGATGAACAAGAAATGATGTTTTTCTTTTCTAAAGACTACAGTAGTAGAGCAATAGACAAGGACAAAATCCAAATAATGCATTCTTATTATGATTTGGATGTATGCAACGCTACAAGAAATGCTGTGACTACACTCCAAAGTATGTGTCCCTTCTCTATTCAAAATATAAATGCTGTAATATCACTGCCTAAAGACATTCACTAAGAAAAGAAGAAGAAGATGTGATGAACAAGAAATGTTGTCTTTTCTTTTCTAAAGACTAGTAGAGCAATGGACAAGAAGAGCTCGAAATTATGCATTCTGATTCTGATTCGAAGGCATGCATTGTATGAAACTCTACAAGAAAAGTAAAGTCTACACTCCAAAGTATTTGTCGCTTCTCTAATTAAAATCTCAATGCTGTAATATCGCTGCTTAAAGGTATTCACTAAAAAGAAGAAAAATATGATGAACAAGAAATGTTGCCTTTCTTTTCTAAAGACTAGTAGAGCAACATAGACAAGGAAAACTCAAAATTATGCATTCATATTCTGATTTGAAGGCATATATTGAATGAAACGCTACAAGAAAAGCCATGTCGCTTCTCCAGCGGTATTCAAAATATAAATGCTGTAATATCACTGCTTAAAGACATTCACTAAGAAAGAGAAAAAATGGGACGAACAAGAAATTTTGTCTTTCTTTTCTAGTAGACTAGTAGAGCAACAGACAAGAAAAAAAATCATTCTAATTCTGATTCGAGGACATTTACTGGGTACACTCCAAATTATGTGTTGCTTCTCTCTTCGAAGCATCGATGCTGTTATTTCACTTCTTGATTAAAGCATTCAGTATTAAAAGCATACCAAGGACAAGAAGTATCATTTTTCAAATCCGACGACATTTGAAGCAATGCAGAGCAGCGTACTACAAGTCAATTTCCCTCCAAATTATGCATTCATATTCTCAACCGAGTTACGCATTGTATGCGGAGGAGGAAGAAGCAGTGTTAAGGGGAATAGCGACACTTTCAATTATATGCAAAGCGGGCCGGCCGACCAGGGCCCCGTTTCACAAAACTTGTCATCAGTGACCAAATGCCAGTTGTGGTTATAAGCTACTGAAATCCTTGCTTCTGATTGGTTATCAGCAGATTTGTCACTGATTTTGGTCATTTGTCATTGAAAAGGGGCTTTGTGAAACGGACCCCGGGAGAGACTCGGGAGAAAGTAACCGAAGATGAGTCAGGATGAAACGTAATTCAGACCCTTTTTTCCTCTGAGGGCATGCATCCACGCTTGTACCGACCAACCATGCATGTATGCATTTCTTCATCCTGCGTTGCGTCGTGGATTATCACATTCAAAACTATCATGCGACATCATGGATGGACAAAGTATTGGCATATTTTAACACTTGATTTTTTGTCACCGAGTTGTATCTCCCTCTTTCTTCCTCTCTCTCTCCTCTCTCTCTCCTCCTCCTCCGCTTTCTCTCTCTCTGACTCCCTCTATCTCTACTTTTTTAACTCTTTCTTTCCCTCCCTCCCTTCCCATTCTCTCTGTGTGTGTCTCTCTCTCTCTCTCTGCTTTTTTTACACTCTCCTCTCCTCTCCTCTCCTCTCCTCTCCTCTCCTCTCTCTTTCTATTTATCTGTCTCTATATCCCTATTCTTTCCCCCTCTCTCATTTCCCTCCCTCTTCGGTCCGTCTCCCTTTTATCTTGAATATTAACTACTGACTCTCTCCTTCAATATGCAGGGATGAAAACTATACCACAGAAAAAAAAAGTTTTTAGCACCCTTTCCCGATCTCTCCCCCTCCCCCTCTCTTTCTCTCATTCTCCCTCTCCCTCTCTCCCTCTCTCTTTCTCCCTCCCTATCTCTCTCTCTTTCTCTCCCTCTCTCTCTCTTTCTCTCTCTTTCTCGCTCTCTCTCTCTTTCTCTCTCTCTCTCTCTCCTCTATCCTTTTCACCTTTTCTACAATACACTATCCAGGGGATTCACACGATTCAAAATATTCTGTGCTACTGTGTCAAAAGGGTCTGTCTCACATTTGTGTTCTTCAACTAGTGAAATGTAAACGAGACTGTACAATTAATATAAAAATTCACTCCACAGTCCCGTATGTGCATATCCATGTTTGGTCATTCCTATATTCTCCCATCACCACCCTACAGAGTCACCAAACTCCTTTGACATTTTCTCTCAAAACACACATTCCCTGCCGGGCCTCGATCAGCCTCCAAGTCCAGAAATATTGATTTACAAATAATGCCATATTTCCAATCTAAAGGTAACTCGATACGGAGACACCATGCAACTAGATACCTAGCCTTCACCATACTCAAGCTATCACACACAACTTATCAAAAGCCAAGCGCTAGCTACACTTCCCAAAATAAAACTATGACCGTCCGATGTGGTTTTTCTTCAATTTCCTTCCCCCCAATTAAGGATAATTGCAAACATAGCTTATGGAATCAGCCCTACACGGATATGCATGTATGGGGATGGGGATCGAAACTGGGCCGGAATGAGGGGAGAGTATTCCAGACTTTGATGAACCTGCGTATGTAGGTCACTTTGTAACGCGGTACATCTTTAACGTGGCCTTTAAATGCAGGTGCAGGTTTGAACAAGTAATGTGAAAGTGGGAACAGGAACAACCAAATTGAATCCCTAAAATACAAGTGTACAATGTACTCTTCTAAATTTTTATCTATGCTTTCAAATATTGATTTAAACAAAATAGCTCTGGCACTGTGCATATTGGCTTAGTTTGACTATAGAAATTATAAAGAAATCACTTATAAATACTTGAAATGTTCAATTTTCTCAATAGAGTTCTTAAAAATATGTCAATGACTTGTAAACATGTATGGTGACATGGTAGAAGTACAGTTTGTTGTCACTTTTTTCTTGCATAACCATAACGCTTTTGATGCCAGGAATTTTATGAATAAAAATGATCTTTAAAATCCTCAAATCAGCAACACGCTGTCAGGAGTAGAAAGTAATTATATACAATACGGGGGAGAAGACTTATTCAAAGTACCCAATACAAAATTATTCATCGATACAATCTGCGCATGGGCAGATAAAGGTAATTTGTACAATACTGTATTAACTCATCGAGGTGTATATTAAAGATAAACTTTAGTACTGGTAATGCGATTGCATTGTGAAAGAAAAGGTGTGGAAAGGATCAGAAACAGTTGATCATGTAGCATGTAAGTATTGGTGTGCACTGCAAGGTTCTAGAGTCATCAAAATCATAATAAATTTGACCGAGTCTTGGTAAAGTAACAAGCACTCACATAGAAAGCTATATATGGGACAACACTCATGGTGTCGGGGCTAGTACTACCTTGATTTCCTTGTCTTTCTATGCTCATTACTCAGCCAGTATACATTTTCTTTCAAAATTGTTTGGCACATGTCATTTATTTGTAATCTTTTTTTTTACCAGTACTGGAGTTTATCTTTAACCATTATTCGTTTATGCACCAACAGTAAATTCTTTGATACAATGGTGGAAGGGGTATCTCTACAAGGGCAATACAAAGGTATTCATGCAGCACCTTCATCACTTTGGCAATGATTTACGGTAAAATGCACAAAGTGGAACTTCTCCATGTTTTAAAAGATATTTGGATATTCGGGGTCATTGTACATGTGCTTTCTCCGAAGTGACTACTTAAAGGGAAGTCCACCATGATGTCAAGTTGGTTTTAATAGAAGCAGAAAAATGAGAGGAACAGTTCAGTGACAGTTTGAGAAAAATCCCATTAAAAAAAGAAAGCTATGCATTTTTGAAGTTGCGTTCAATCAAACATAAATTGACAACTGTGCGACGTCTCTTGCCAGCTCTGCTCCTATTAGATCTGTACTAAAATTTCAGAAATTTCTTTTTTTGCCCTCAAGAAAATTTCAATCATATATTCACTCAAAATATAATTGTTGCAAATATCTTTGTATGCAACCCCTGCATGAAACAAATCCATTCCATCATCAACAATTAAAACATGTAATGAAAGTTGTTGAAATTTTCTGATTTGATTAAAACTAACCTAATATAATGGTTGACTTCCCCTAATAAACATATGAATAACATCTCCCAGGCTCTCCAGTCTCAACACCCCTATAGAGAAGTGGAACAATCCAATACGGACATTCTCATCTACCTATCATCCAGTGTTATAATTCTGAGAGAGAGCCACTGCTCGAAATTACAGGGTAATTAACGCAGCAGCAAGCGAAACTTTAATGCGGCTTGGCCGAGCGATCGTTC